CTGTAAATAAGATTAATGTGAAGTGGAAGTTATTTCTCTCACTCTGCCTCTATATCTATATATATAAATTTATCCCACCTAAAACGTCCAGGCCATAGGCCGAGCACTTGTCCTTCAGTCGCTCCCTCCGCTGATCCATGCGCTGCTCCACCTGAAGCATTTCCTGCGACGTAAGCGTCTGCACGGCATATTCGGGTATGAGCGGCAGGCGTGTCTGATTGATGTCCTGTGGCGGGATAAACAAATTCCGAAACAATAATGAAACTTAATGGCAGCCAAGAGATATATGTAGGCATGTGGTAATATGGTAATATGGTAATATGGTTATGGGGTATGCGAATCGAATGCCGAACCCGAAAAGGCCTCTGCCAATACAACAAACAACACAGGGAGAGGAGAGGCTCACACTCGTGTTTGGCTTTTTGCACAATTTTCTCCGGTTACATCATTAATTATACTTTTGCCCTGTGTGTGTGGAGTGTGTGGAGTGCTGCGGAGGTTGTGTGTGTTTTTGTGTGTGTGTTTGTTCTGGTTACATATTTACTTTATCAACATAGCGCCACTTGTTCTTTGTCTTGCCCGTTGCCACCACGGTCAGCTCCTTGTTCTTGTTCTTGTTCAACAGCAGCACCGGATACCGAAATGTTTGCCCCTGCGATTGTTGCTGCTTCTGTTGCTGCCGCTGTTGCTGTTGCTCCTTCTGTTGCTGCTGCTGCTGCTGCAGATGTGGCGGCTGCTGTTGCACATTAAAGGCCTAGAAAAGCATTGGCAGGTTTTTGGGTTTTCTTTGTATTTAGTTATTGTGTTTGATGTGGCTGCTGTCTGTGTCTGTGTTTATGTTTTAGTTTTGGGTTAAGAGCGGAGATGACATGGCGTATGCGTAATTTACAAGCGGTTCTAATGGCCAGGCCAAGCACTGTCAAGGTCCCGCAGTCGCCCACTCCGCGGGGCGACCAGCAATCTCAATTAAAACCACCAGACAGCAGTGTCAACTTGCTTCTAGAGATCGCCACATGAATCAAGTGGCACTGGGACAGACAGCCACTGGACAGGCTGGCGTCATGGCAGCCACTTTGCATTTGACTCGCGTACGCGAGGAGGAAACTCTACACTAACTGAGGGTACATAAATGTCTGCTAAAAGGGTGGGAAAAACACATACATCTGGTGGCTTTATCTAGATTTTTGGCTGAGGAACGCTCTTGGAATAATGATTATAAAATGTCGTAGGATATGCGGAGGAACTACCATTAAAGCCCAAAGAGCATCCCACCATCGGCTTGCCAAAGAACACTTCAAATTCCTGCCTAGAGTGGCGCTATGTGCATGACGTACACTGTGCGGAAATGAGCTGTGATGGGGTTGGGATTTTTAGGGGAGGCATATCGTTTCTACTGACTTATCAACATGTGTGTGTGTGTGTGTTTCTCTATGTGTGTGTGTGCGTGGGTGTTCCGTGGAATGCTGTGCTTAATTATGCGTGTATGCCGGGCAAAACAAAAGCAACGAAACGAAACTAGAGCATACACAACGATGTACACCCGTTTGCCACATTCCCCCGTGTTCTTTGAGCTTTGACTCTTTTTTTTGTGGGGTCCTGCGTGGCCCAAGCATTTGTCATTTGTCATTTGGGTAATGTTATGCAAATTAGCAGTGGGAAAGCGTTTATTGATTGTGGTATACCCACTGGTAGAAGGACTACAAGTGGCAGTCCTTGTGGCAATCCTCGAATCGATTTTCATGCGACAGCAGCCAGCGTGGCAGCCAGCATTGATGACTTTTTTATGATGCCACAAGCAATTAAGTGTAATTTAAGCAAATGTTTCTCTTTTATTATTTTCTCTTCTTGCCAAGCATGTGCCCAAGGCCAGGCACGGACGCCTCCAAGTCTCCGACGACCACGACCAGCGACGGCAAAGCGGCTTAACCAAAGGGTTGGGCTGGCCAGAGGGCGTGTCCGGAGGCGTTGCGGGCCAGCTTATGTGCACACATGTTTGCGCTGGTAATTGCTGCTCTATTAGAATATTCCCTCACTCTCCACTCGGAATTTGTTTCAGTTTCAAGCACACAAATAGAGGCGATAAAGCTGGCGAAATCCGCTGGCTAATTGCGAATTAATTTACACCTAATCAGGCGGTCACAACAAATGCTCCACTCGGAAATTAGCACTAGCTTAAGCTGTTCAAAGATCACAGATCAGACCCCCAGCACCCATGAGAACTAAAGCGTTAAACGTGCAACGAGGTGCGAACTTTGATAAATAAACAATAGCAAAATGCCTTACATTTCAAATATTTCGCTTCGATTCCATTTGCCTCTCATTTGCGTATTGTATTTATAGAGATTGCTTCCGATGGGGTAGCTGCAATGCCCTTCACACAACAAATTGTTTATAGAATTCGAATGATTGCACAGCGATAGTGGTGGTTGCGATTGGGGGCTTAATCGTTCATATTTTAATAGCAATTTCAGCAGGTTTTTCTCTGTTTCACTGACACGGACGCGGACACGGACACTTGGGGGGGCAATCGATGCGTGCCTGCAGTTGGTTTCGTAGTCAGGCGATAGTTAGGCTAGATGAAGGGCAAAAAGGCAGGGCAGGGCAGGGCAGGCATTCTCTACAAGCAATCTATAGCTAAAAGCAAGGGCGCAAAAGCTACACAAGTAAATGCTACCAAATACTGGATACTGAAGTGGTTCTGGTTCAACCCACACACCTCTGACCCACTGCGCCAGTGCGCCACTCACCTCGAATCCACGTATTTTCTGCAGCTGCTCGTTCCACACCAGGTAGACGAGGGAGAGGGGCAGCAGCAGCAGCGAGACGGCCGTAAAGATGAGCAAATATCGCCGGATGGTGCGACAATTTGCCAGGCTCTTGCTCAATTTCATTTAAACTCGAATATAGCTGCATAGGAACTGATTTCTCTTGGATCGTTTCTTCCTCTTATTGGTTGTTCTTGGTTATTTTCTTCTTGGCTATATATAGTATTACATTTATTATTGATATTCATGAGACATTTCCGGGGGGCTACGACGCGACCGCAATTTCAGCCTGCAGTTGGCGACAATATTTGTAAATGTTGCTCATGGCTGCGAAACGGAAAGCTAAATTTAGTTTTTCTGTGCTAAATGTTCTTCAAAAAAAAAGTGTACCATAAAAAAAGAGACATAGAGGGAGAGGGAGAGGAACGGAACCCAAAGAGTAAATAGATCATTCAGCTATGGAATCTGTCGGCTTCTGTGGGTGTGGGTGCGTGTCTCTGACAGCCTGATGACAATTCTGCTTTATGCTCGAGTGGCTTTTGGCCTGAATTGTGTCACTGCAACGTGCTTGATATTACAGCCCAAACAATTGTACGCTCTGCTCTTTGTTTCTGTTCGATTTGGGGGTTTGTTTTTTCACTTCCACTTCCACTTCCCTTTTTTCCTCTTTTATGAGTGCATGTCCGGAAACAACAAACAAAAGTTCTTTATTGATTTTTAACTCCATCTTTACTCTTGGAAGGGGGGAAAGTGTACAAAAAGGAGTGCATCTTGAGGGGTATTGAGTGGCAGAGTGTGTTGCTCTAGAGCGGCTTCTCGCCAACAAAACAAATTTCAATTTGCCGTGCGAGTATTCGGGTTCTTTTATTGTTGTTTATTTTATTTTAATATATTTTAAATTCATTAAAGGCACTCACACGCTCACACATTCTAACAGCCTCACACTCTCACAAAAGAGACCAAAAAGTTGGCAAACAAAATGCTAAGTGCGGGGCGTAAGAGGCGTATACGTAACGTGTTGTCCATTGCTTTGCTTTTGCATTTCTGCCTTTTGCCTTTGCTCTTTCTTTGCCCCCCTCCACAGCCCATCAACAACAGCAACCACAATGGAGGGCAGCATTTTGTTAGTTTGTTTTTTATTTGTTGTATTTTTTATTACTCAATTGTTTGCCAATTGAAGAAAAGCGCGCAATCAATATCAATTTGCAAAGCGTGCCGTGATTATATGCCTCCTCGTTTACTCTTTCACTCTTTCGCATTCTCTCACTCTCACTCTTTCTCTTATGGTTTCGCCAAACAAAACTGGGTGGACTAGAGGGGTGGGGGGTGTGGGGCTGTTGGTGTGATTAAAACTGGAGGGGAGAAGTCACCAAACACAAACCGTCGCCCGTCATCACCGAACGACGCACATTTCACGAATGAAATCAAATGCGAAAAATACAAAATACGAAATGAGCAGAGGCCCAGGCAGGCAGCCAGCAGGCAGGCGGGCATGCCCTCTCTGCACCCTGCATTCTACTCTCTATCATTGAGAACGTGGCAGTTTCAGTTTCATGCTGCCCGCGAGACAGAGGTCTCTGCCAGCGCATGCGATTCCTTGAGCTCGGCTTTTTATGCTGCTCCACTCTGTAGATGGCTGACACCTTTGCAACGGGTATGATGATTTGGGGAAGAGTTTGTGCATGGCAGCAGATAACAGAACATAAGTATAATAATACTTCCCTTTAGTATCTGTTATCTTCATAATTTCCTTGTCTCTGCCAATCAAAAGATAAGCAAATCGATTTTTGGGCTAGCTTCAGGGCACCCCTCAGTGGTCGTTGAACTTCCACGGTATTTGCACTTCGATTGGATAACTTTGCCTGCACATTTGTTTATTTACGGTTGTTGTAGTTGTTTCTTCCCCCTCCACTCCAGGGCAAACCCTGCTCGGGGTGGTTGGGTTGCTTGTTTGGCCATTTGATTTGTTTATCGGAGAGAGAAAAAGTTTCTTTCTTAACCAGACGCAAGGAGAGTGAAATGCGCAGTGAGAGCTAGAGCGAGAGAGAGAGGTGGAAATGCAAGGGTTTCATTCTCTTGCATTGGAGCAACAGCAGGGGCCGCGTGGGTGGATTCAAAAGTTATCAGAGTCACACACGGAAATGTTTCCTTCGTTGCGTTGCACACATCTGTCCAATATCATTATAATCTTCTCAAACACAACACGCAACTGACCTTCAGCCATAAATAGAACAGTTTTGATACAAAATTATATTACTATACATTTTCACACCCACGAAACAGTTGAAAGTTGTTAAAAATATTGCTATTTGGAGGGGATCGCTTTGCGTTAAGTAAATGCAGTTCGGGAAGACCAGCATTAAGCCTCAGTACTTGATCAGCGAGTGCACTTTGCAGTCCAGCTTCTTGCGGCCGTCGAGGTCGACCAGTTCCATCACCACGAGGCTCTCGAGGACAACGCCACCCACTTTGCGCACCAACTCGGAGGCGGCCAGAAGGGAACCACCTGTGGCTAGCAGATCATCCACAATGACGACTTTCTGACCAGGTCGTATGGCAGCACGCTGCAGCTCAAAGGTGTCCTATAAGGGAAATAGTTCTGGTATACTGCGGAAATCTATGGGATCATCTGAGGCTACTCACGCTGCCATATTCTAGTTGGTAGTCAACGGCGACGACCTCGCCTGCCAGTTTTCCCTTTTTCCTAATGGGCGCACAGCCCACGCCCAGTTCGGTAGCCAGCAACAGATTGAAGAGGAAGCCCCGCGAGTCCAGGCCCACGATGACCTCCACTTCCGGCTGGCTCTGCTTTATGTACTGCACCAGCAAATCCCTCAGATAGACACAGGCCTTGGGATCTGTCAGCGCGCCGAATATGTCGCTGTTTGGGACAGACGGAGGTGAAACACATGTTAATGGAGCGATAAGAGAGTTTAGCAAGCTCATATATATAATAATCATACTGTCAATTGCGGGCAAACCTTAATTGTCTGATAACCTTTCCATAACCCACCGAAATAGTATCCCCTCTTTGGGAAAGTTGGGATATTCGCCAATCTTGGACTTCACATAGTCGAGTTTGTCTTCCGCGCTGATTTGACTCATTGTTCAGTTTTGTTTTGTGTGACAAATAGGGGAAACGTTTAATTTATAGTTTTTTTGTTTTGGTATTTAATCGCTACAGCGTAATTGGATGGTCGCACGACGATGAATCCGCATTGAAGAGGTACTAAGTGTTGCCAGTTCAGCCATTTTTCAACTAGATCTAGCCTTTTTCAATTACCAAATGCAGGATAAACTGTAAAATAGCGGGCAGCGGAAATTATAGCTATTTTACATGACATGTTTGCGTTATTTTAGCTTTTTCAAAACATCTGCCATCTTCAATTATTTGTATGCTCTACTTAAGTACTTTGTAGTATTGTTTCCATTTGAACGGCAAAAATAAGATCGACAAGTCAAAAGAGCATTTAATTGAATTTAATTATACTATTATTGACGAAATATTTCACAATTTTTTGTATTATTCTGTTAAATCAGCTGATCAGCCCCCGAAAATATACCGCAAATATACCGATGAATGCAAGAAACTTAACCCATTTAGTCCCCCTCTATTTAAACATTTGTGCGATGAATTAGATTTGGCGGGAGACTTGAATTGTACGCGAAATCGAAATTAGAATATGATCGCGAGAGATAAATGAAAAAACCTTGGTTTTCCTGTATTGAAAATAAACTAAACTTCATTTTGATTTATTAACATATTTTATTTGTTGATTTTATCTCGTCAGGTCTTGAACAAACACATCCAGATTTTCCCAGACCACTCCAAATTGTTTGCCTTGGCATTTTCTTGCACAAAGAAAGTATTCAAAGGAATTCGCCTGCATCCTGCAGGTAGCAAACAGTCCCAGCTCCGTCCCGCACCAGGAATTTTTCTCATATATCTTTCTTCTCTCTATCTCAGCTGGATAGCTGAAGAAATTTCGATAATTCTGCGAGGGAAACACATTCGTTTGCTGCATTTTATCAACAACAAAATAATTGAAAAGAAATGCCAGCCATTTTCGCTACACTTATCCAAAGACAGCCACGATCTTGCACTCTCTCTCTCTCAGCAGTCTCTCGCTCTCCAAACGCAGCTATGGCTCAGTCAGGTATAACTGTGTGCCAAGCCAATGCCAAGCCCGACTCGAGCAACTTCTCACAAGTGTTTCAAGCGCTGATCGCGACGGTTCTCTGAGCGGGTTTCACCAAAAGAAGCGGATCTTTCTCTGCCACTGCGAATAAATTCAGATCAGTCGCGAGTTTTTCCACCAAATTAATGCAAATTGAAAAATTAAAATACAAATAATAATATAGTATATAAGACGGTGATACAATTCAAGCGCTGTCCAGGCGAAACCTGTTCTCGAGCACTGTAAGCGAATGTTTTGCGAATCTCGAATTAAGTTCAAACTTAACGGCAAAAGTAAATGTCAGCCAAAGGTTCCGACAAAACTGCGCTGCGCCCCTTTTTGCCATTTAACAACTATACAACAAACACAAAGCACAAAATATATCAACAGCAACAACAAAAATGTACAACAACCATGCCGCAGAAAGCAAAAAAGTTCATCCAACATAAAAACGTGGAAAACCTAAAAAAAATATATACAACATTAGGCACAGCAACAATATTGCAGAGGTGCAACTGCAACGTTCACATTCGCAAATACACACACACACACACATACAGTCACAGACATATGCATGTGTGAACCCTGTGGAAGCCATGCGTATTGAAAGTGCAACAGCAGCAGCAGCAGCAGCAGCAGCGACTGCGCGCGCGCGCTTAAGTAACGTGAAAAACCAGAAAGAGGCACAGTTTTGTGTTGTTTTTTTTTTGCGTTATTTGAGGCTTCTGCAGCGGCGCAGTGGCGGCGGCGGCCTTCGCGCTGAAGGGCACTAAAATAGGGCGACACAAATATGTATATCCCGTAGAAAGATGGGTAGTGGAAATAGGAGCAGCAAAGGAAAGGGACTTGAAGAATAGCTAATTAACTCAGCAAATAAATATTTAGAATTAGTCTGAAAGAATATTAAATGACGAAACGAAAAGTAAAGGGTTAAAGGTAAAGTTCCTGGCTGTAACAGTCTCCCAAGTTTCGCACCAGAACCCTTTTTGGCACCCTTTGGCCCCAAAGTGCGCCCCTGTCTGTGGGTAGGCAAAAAGCCCAGCGAAGAATCTCTCGGTGTGAGTTACTATTATGTATATACCTGGACCCCCATTGTAGTTTCTGTTGCTGTTGCTGTTGCTGCTGCTGTATAGAAACCCTCTCTGCGCTGTGTTGGCTTTTGGTATGCGCGAATGTTTTGCCAACATCAAAATCGTGATCTAATAAAAAACAGCACAAACCAAAATAGAGACACATACCTGGGCAGGGGAATGAAAGAATGAGTGAGTGAGTGGCGGACCTGATTGGACTCTAGTACCCGAGAGAGTGGAGAAAACAAAGTTGAAGATTCTCCAAGCCCACATTTGGATGGATGGATGGATGGTTAATGAGTTGGCATTGGCAGCTGTAAATGCTGTCAATATGTATTGTATTGGATAACTGACTGGAGAATACCATTCGCCGGTTGTCCGGTTCTTCAACTCGTTCCCCATTCACTCCTTCGCACTCCAATTCGATGCGAGACGATCCGTTCTCCCTGTTGAAAAAGAAATCGTCTGTTTATAGTATGCAAAAGGAGAAGGCCAAAGAAATGGCCAACAGCGAAAAAACATTTCACATAAAACGAAAAAAAAATACATCTGTTACCCCAACAACATATTCTGGCTGAACGAACACAAAAGCCATGTTTATATGGCATTTCCGCATAATTCTGAAATATTTGGAACCAGTTTCTGGTCTCCTCTGGTCTCTGGCTCTGGGTGTTTTCTGTGTGTGTTCGGTGCCTCGAATTTAGCAACCGACAGCTAGTGCGGCTATGAACGTGTTAATCAAGCCACCTGTTTTAGGTTCCACATTGTTGGCCAAAAACCAACCACACATAAACACACAAGATGCGGCTATAACAAGCCAGTTACACGACTCGGCCAATATAAAAGGAAAGAAAACCATAAAAAAACAGAGACTCCCCCCGAAGCGGTATGCGGAACAATGAATACTTTTTCCTCCGCTTAGACATAATTAGCCGAGCAAAAGAGGGAAAAGCTGTGAAAATGGGAAAATTAATTGTCAGTGCGTGGCCAATGGGGGTGAGTGAGGTGAGGCGCTGCTGGTGCCGCCAGACAGACATGGGTACACTCACCTCACCCTCGTCCGTGTGTCTGCTGTCTGTGCCTAATGTGAGATTTATGTTTGACAAAGTAGAAAGTCATCTTGGTCTCAGTCTCAGTCCCAGTCCCAGTCTAAGTCTCCGTCTCGGGTGGAGATTGAATGAATGACCAATGTTGGCGCTGATTTTAAAAAGAAAGCCCGTCCAAGGCAATTTTTCGCCAATGCAATTGCACTCGCATTGGCACATTTGGATTTCAGCTTTGAGCCACGTTTAAGGTAACAACCGCGCCAGCGGCATTACCCAACTGACCTTAATTCAATTTGTAGCTACTGAAATTTCATTAAATGCTGTGCCAGCTGTACGCGAGGGTTCTCCTCTTTTATTTCTTTTAATTTAACTTTGATTTTTCCGTACTTCTTTCCTGTATTTCTTGGCTGTAAGTGAAACTCGAAACCGAAGTTGATGCCGCCGCCGCCGCCGGCCGGTGAGCGGATGTAACCCAAGAGACTTGACCATATACCCATGCCCATACGATCGAGTATGTGCTTCGTCATAGCAGAGTTTTGTTGCTGTTGCTGTTGCTGCTTTTGGTACTTCCACTCGAAGCCTTTTCGCTGGTCACTTTCTTTTCGGTCACGATCGATCCCATGGAATGAGTTATGTACACTCGAAAAACCCCAACTGAATGCACTCACAAATTACTCCACAGAAAATTCAAACAGAGCATAAAGGAAATTATTAGTCTTCGTCTGCGGTTTGTCTGCAATTATGACAGCGACTTCGTCTGCATCTGCGTCCGTGTCTGGGTCTTCGTCTGGCACTGGACACTTCACTCCACTATAATTTTCCAGAGACGCGACTCGCTTTTCAGGCTTTGGCTTTTCTTGGCCAAGATTTTCCAACAAAGTCTTTAGTTGTCACGTGCCACTCGGGGAGTGTTTCTTTATGTTACTGGGCTGTTGTGTGTTTTGTTCTGGTTCGACTCTCTCTTTTGTTATTAGCATTAAAATGCTAATCGATTCCGCTTTGCCTTGGACTCGCACTCGGACTTGGACTTGGACTCGAACTCGAGCCATAATTGAGTCTCATTTTGTTTGTTTGTTTGGGTTTTAATCAACTTTAATGAACCAATCATGACCAACATTCAGAGAGATCGCAGTCTTTTGTGTTATAATTTCCACAGTTCCCGCACAAAAAGAAACATAATAAATTAAGCATACGCAATGGGTCGGGAATTTCGGGGCCTGGGAACTCGCGAGAGACAAAGACAAAGCTAATGAAAATGCATTTCAGTCGGCCACATTTTCTCCCAGAGCAATCTGAGATTTGACTGAAAGCGAAACACGTTTATTATTGATAGTCAAGCAGCCTGCCTGGCTGGCTGTCTCTTTGGCCAGCTTGAGCCATGAATCATGGCTAAAATTAGACCCTCCGACTCGTTGTTCAATAATCTTTTGCATAATGTCTTTTGCTGATCGCTGGCTCTCTCTCTCTCTCTCTCTCTCTCTCTTTGTCTTCCTGTGGTATAGAATAAAGTGGCAAGTGGCAGATGTGAGGCAACTGTGGAAAGCTAATGGTTGTCTTGGCAATTATCTGCTTGATTTACATAAGCCATAAGCCATAAGCTGCCGAGAGAGTAAAAAAGGTAGCCAAAAATGTGGCCTCAAGCTGTATCTCTCTCTCCATATATTTTTGTTAACGATTATTGTTGCTCGCAGCTGAATTGGCAAATGCGAATGTGAGTGTTTGCCTTTTTTTTTGGGAGCTCAGTTTTGATTGAAGTGAAGGGGAAAATTTCATAAAAAGCATGTTTAATGATTTGAAAATGTTTTCGACAGATAGTTGCACAGAGAAAGGGGATCCATACATCATCCTCTGCTTGCATCATAGTTGGGATGTTGCACG